TATATTAAGTTTAATATATAATCTTTTGTTTATTTACTTTGAATTCAAATAATATTTATTTATGTTCGTTTAGCCCATTCGTCTTTGTTCGTTTCACCCGTTCGTTTATATATTAAATTTAATATATAATATTTTGTTTATTTACTTTGAATTCAAATAATATTTATTTATGTTTGTTTACCGCCTTTCGTTTATGTTCGTTCATTTACATTCGTTTAACATGTTAACAAACGAACATAAACGAACACGAACACACCTGATTTCTAAACGAACAAACACAAACACAAATATTTTCGTTCATTTACCGTTCGTTTGTTCGGTCAAGTTAAACGAACGAACATGAACAAGCTTCTGTTCTTATTCGTTTGGTCCGTTACAACCCTAACCAAAATCTCAATCTCTCATCTTCCATATGTGTTCGTTTGGTTCGTTTACATACTTTTATTTGTTTTCCAACAAAATTTATTACAATATTCATTTTTTTGACAAAAATTATGTGTGATTAATTATATTATACATCTCTAATTCTTTTTAGTTTCAATTTTATTTATTTTATAAAAAATTATTGAAAATCTTTTTGCTACATCAATTCTTTGATATCCTTTACTTGGAAAGAAATAAAATCCACATCCAACTATCGGTATCTGATCCCTCAACTGGGAAATGGGGATTTTTTTTACGTTTGTGTAAATTTTTTCATGCAATCAAAAAATTTGATCTTATTGAGAAATCGATGTCTTACTCCATAACTTTGAGGGAAAAAGAGAACAATAGCCTGACAAGGGTTTCAGGTTTGGTCCGATTTAGGTGCCAATGGAATAGGTAACAAAGTTATCTTGCCACCCACTGCTACTAAATCACCACAATCAAATGTATGAGAAGTCAACATATTTAAATCTCATATTTTTTCAATAAGCCTAAAATCAAAAGGAATTTAATTTAATACAAAAATATATACATCTTCATATAACAATTAATAAGTCGAAAACTAAAAGAAATTGAATTTAATCTAAAAAAATTAATGTCATATGTACCAAAACATATCGAGTAATATCCAAAACCACATCTAATAATATTCAAAATATATTAAAATAGAAATCACCATTTATCGATTTAATAGAAATAAATAATATATAATATAATTCATTAATATATATATAGGTGGGTTATTATACAACCCTTCACATTTGTACAACCAATATAACTCAATCTCAACTGTCCATTTAATTTGATGAATATATGATTTCATAGAAGTTTTGATCGTTTTCTAATATAAATTATTGGTCATAATTAGTGAACTCTATTCATCTTCCATAAATATTCAAATCATAATAAATGAACTCTCTTCATCTCCATAAGCATCTCAATTTATTGGGTTGTATTGTTTGTACAAATGTAATGAGTTGCATTTGAAACACTCTCTCTCTCTCTCTCTCTCTCTCTATATATATATATATACACACACACGGGTATGTGGTGGGAAGGGGAGTGTGATGCCCGTCCCTGTCCCCATCCCCGATTTGAGCCAAACGAGGATCCCCTTCCCCGTCCCTGAGACTTGGTTTAATGGGGAATCTCCGTCCCTGACTGGGGTTGGTGGACCAGGTTCCCGATGAGTTGGGGCCAATTCAAGAACTCTTCTAAAACTCAGTTTGCTAAACTGGTGAAATTCTATTTCTTTCTTCTTTCCTACAATACCTTCATCTAGAAGAGGAAGAAAGGGTGTAATAAAAAAAGGCAAAAATATCCCTCACTTGTGTCATTCTTTAACGGAGTTATCTCGAAGGACCAAATCTGTAAGGATTTATAAACCACAGTAGCCATCGATGTAATAAATTACAAGGACCATAATTAATGGTAGATCTAGAAACTTTGGTTATAGGGGTCGTAATTTAAGTAATGGTCATGTGTTTATGTGGTTGACAATCTCTTCTACTTAAATACTTTCATTTTATTTATCCATTTGATTAGAGTGATACTCCACAAAGAACTCTTTTTAAATAGATTCAAGGAAGATCATTCACATTAACACTTATACATTAATTAATAAATCCTAACCCTAAATTAAAAAAAAAATTAACAATTTAACATCAATTCACAAACCCTGATCCTAACAACTAATAATTAACAATTATATATTAACTAACAAACTATAATCGTAACAATTCACGATTAATCATTAATGTAAAAAACAAAATATATCAAAAATTAACAATCAAAATTGCGCTAAAAAATTTATGAAGTCAAACCTTATTTTTTTTAGTCAAAACATATAGGGTTGAGTTCACATGAGACCAAGGGTTTTTCGTTAGACCCGTAAGACTAATTTATGTTCATTGATCAACTTTATAAGTTAATGATCTAATGGTCTAAAGTTGCACAGTGGCAATTTTGTGATTATTGAGAAGTCTCGTGACAATTTTGTGATTATGAATGTTCATATTGTAGATCTAATCCAAGGGTTGAAAATTGGTCTTACGGGTCTCACGAAAAACCCTTGGCTTCACATGATCCCAAATGTATATATATATTAGTTATTAACTATTTTTTTTTTATATAATGAAAATTTGAAGGGACCTCTATATAGTTATTAACTATTTTTTTTATATAATGAAAATTTGAATGGACCCCTATATAATTATAATTTGTTATTAACTATTATTTTTTTTATTCCTAATTGGATTATCTTCAGACACTTTTGACCTTTGGATCTCAAGCTCAAATAAATCAGGCATTACCCTTATATTTATTATTTTTTTTATATATATATATATATATATATATATAAGTACGTGTGTGTGTGTTTTATAATAATAAAAAAATGAAAATAATAATAATGAAGATAAATTTTTTATTACTCGAAATTTTTGGGTTTTAGAACTCTTCCCTCCTTCAAGAAATTCCGTCCTCGGAATTAATACTC